GATATTAACATCATATAATAATTATGTCATACACCCTCAAACCATCATACCATAATTCATATCAGACACTCGTTCCACAATACCCAAAAGACACTCATCCCACAATACCCAAAAAGACACTCATCCCACAATACCCAAAAAGACACTCATCCGGATGATACGTTGATGAGCGGTCACGGGAGGTTATGCACTTGTGATGACTTCTACTTCTTCTTACAAATACACTTCCAAAATACTTCATACCATTCACAAGGTTAGTCCCCTCACTATGTCCAAAACCGGCACATAGACCAGGACCTCCTGCTCCTCTCACCACATAATTCATCCTTCTCTACTTGAGACTGGATGATTATTAGAGTATCAGGATAACCTCCAACTACAGGACCCTCAACATCAACATATACACAATTACCACATCAATACAGAATCTCTCCACGAGACTCATACAATGCTCACATTCCTCAACTCACATTATACTATTACGAAATCTCCCCATAATACTCATATCATGTTCGGATGCATAAATTCAAATCCAATATAATAAATTACAATCATCACAATTAAAATTCACAATTTCGTATCTACCACAATAACATAAATTCATTCCAACGAGATATATTGCATAATAATTTAACAGTACATAATCTGTTCAACAAGAATTAAGTTAAAAGTTTGTCGAGTAGACTTCCAGGAAAGAGAGGTGCGTCACAATGGACAACTTAAGTACCAAGTCTTTCCTTAGCCAAAGTGTTCCTCAACTAGTTTTAACAAATTTCTTATTTACAGATTCAAAATAACAGCATATAATATTGACACAGAAATTCAAGATAAATAAATAGTAAGCATTAACAGTATTCACACATAATTTCAAGACATGAATAGTAATAAAACAGTACTATATCATAACATAAAAGCTTAGAAAGGTTAGCTCCCCTACCTCTATTCCAGACTTCTCTTGCTCTGAATTTGCTTCCCCGAAAACTCTTCAGAACCTCTACTCTAAAATTTCTTCCTACTCCAAAAACTTCCTAATTTCTTCTCTTCTCCTAATTTCTCTCTACTTCTTGGTGCAAAAACTCCATTCCTCTGATCTCTATTTATAGGTAAAAATTTTTACTATTCATTAATTTTTTAATATTATTTATTATTTTAATATTATTTTAAAAATA